GATGACCAATTTGGGATATATAGATGTTCTAATGAAACTCCCTGTGTAGTTATCTTAAACAAAAGTGTTTTTCTTGAATATGTGGAAATATTCTGTTCAAATTGCATACACATGTATGTAAATGGAAAAATGAGACATGTTGAAACTATTCCAGGAATGGGGGAAGGAGGATAAAGGAGAATGATGGAGGGGGTGAATTCAACTATGATATATTGTAAGAAATTTTGTAAGTGTCACAATGTAACCACAATATAACAATAACAAAATAAATTTCTCTCTCTCTATTTATATATATATAAAAGAAAATTATTGCTAGAAAAAATATGAAAACAAAAATGAAGGTCAGGAAGATAAAACAGGTCCTGCCTTGGGGTGGGGCACCAGTGGAAGTGGGGGAGGATATAAGGAAAGGGTGTACGTGGGTGAATATGGTGGAAATATTAGGTACTCATGTATGAAAATGGAAAAATGATAGCTGTTGAAACTGTTCTAAGAAGGGAGGGAAGGGATAAGGGAGAGTGACCAAGGCAGTGAATTTGAGTAAGGATAATTGTAAGCACTTTGTACATGTCACAATGTACCCCCAGTACAGCAATAATAAGATGAAACAGAGTAGATTTATACTAACTATGGCTGCATACATCTTTTCTTTCAAACCCCACAAAACTATCTTCATTATGAGAACTTTCTGGTTTTCTGAGGAAAAACTGTTTTTCAAAAACAGGATTATTACCAGAAAAATTACTTCAGGAAAACTTGATCCTAAATTATTTCAGAAAAAAACTAAAGCAAATCCAAGGGAGAAAAAATAATAGTAGGAAAGGAGATGATAATAATGGAGAATAACTTCAGGAAAATCCATTCCTAAATTATTTCAGAATAAATCAAAAGCAGTTAAAAAGTAGGAAAACAGTAACAGGAAGTAGCATTGAGTGGAGCTCCTCTGAGCAACCACAGGGGCCTCTTTTCCAGGACCTGCCAGGGCCTTAGATATTGGATTTACTCATTTCCCCTCCTCCACACTCTGCCTCTTTAGCAGCCACCTCAGATGCCAGAGCATTTTTGCATCACAACCTCCAAAACCCAAGCCCCTTCTGTGCTCAAATTGAGGATCTGCAATGAAGCACACAGCTCTTGTTGCAAAGGCCCTGCCATTTAACACCTACAACAGCCATGTCTACACCAACAGGAAACACCATCTTTGAGCACTAGCGACAGTTTTGGTACCAAGATCTGTTATCTTACTTACTCAGCAAGCTAGGCACAATCACTCCTTGGTGTGGAACTACTTCAGGGGCTGAAGTGCTTTAAATCCTTATTGACACTGATCAGGGCTGATCACCTGCTGTATCTCTGCAAAAGTTAGTTTTGGGGCAGCCCTCACTGTCATCTAGGAAGAAGTTTAGTATTTAACACTTGGAATCACTGGGGTACTCTACCTGTATAACCCAAATTGCATTTTGATACTTAGTGTTGATTCTTCAGAGTCTAAATAAGGAGGATTTCCTTTTTCAACAAACCCTTGCACTAAGAAACACTCCAACTCCAGGTGATCTCATGTTCCCTATTCATAAAGGTGCCCATACATACAACATGGAAGATTTTTAACTAAAAATTATGTAGACAACTTTTTCATGAAGGTTTTTATTAACACATAATAAAATTTATTTATTTTACACTAAGACCTAGGGTTTTTTTTTTTTTTTTCCTTTGGCATTACTGGGACTTCACACTTGCTAGGCAGGTTCTCTACTGCTTGAGCCAGGCCTCTGGCCCTTTTAGCTCTTTTTTATTTTATTTTTTTTAAGGAGATAGGGTCTTGCTTTTTGCCCAGGCTGGCCTGGACCACAATCTTCCTATTTTCTGCTTCCTGAGTTGCTGGGATGACAGGTATGTACCACCATGCCCTGCTTTTTTCTGTTGAGATTGGGTCTCATGAATTTTTTTTTTTGCCATTTGGCCTGGATTTTCCTGATCTCACCCTCTCAAGTAGCTAGGCATCAACTAGTCACTGGCAACTGGCTTAGTATTTGTTCTTTTGACAATGAATAGAAATAAGTCTTCTTGTTTACTTTTCATCTTCTCTTAGGCTTCAGATAATATCATTAATGAGTCAGTTAATATCAACAAACCTGCTTTAGACTAATAAGTCCTTTTTTTTTACTCCTAGAACCTTGACATATTGGAAGATTTATATTCTCATATCAAGGGTAGATTTTTTTTAAAACGTAAACATAATTAGGCTGTTCAGAAACCTGTTAACTACAGGTTCAACATCAGTCAAAACAGTGCAATTTAAGTGGAGATCACTGAAAGTGTTTTGCTTCTCCCTGAAAGTCACAGGTATGACCTTCGAAAACCTGCTTCATGTGTTATTCCTGCAGAAGAAACAAGCTGGTGACTAAGTGAGTATATTAAGAGTTTCCCACACACTGTTTAATGCCCGATTTGGCTTCCTATTAGTAATAAGGAGAAAGGCAAGACTCATGGAAAAGAGAAAGAGCTTTCAGACTGTATCCTCAAGAGGAAAAAGGTGCAGCTGAGTGCCTCAGTAATTGAAATATATTAGAAATTACCCAAGAGAATAAAAAATTAGAATTAAAGGATGGGATGATAGACCATTGGTAGCAAGAAAAGCCTCCTGGTTCCTCAGTTTATACAGTTTGTCCACCACGAGTAGTATATTTTCATTTGCTGTCTATGTAGGAAAGGTGTTTAAGAATGTCAAATGACTGCTACTCTTCTCCTTTCAAAATATCTGATATTGCTTGTGGATAAAGAACAGGAGTTGGAAACTAAAGTATTCAACCAAGAGAATGCTTTGTTACCACACAAGCTTGTAGACATTTATTCAGATAAGTTTTTAAAAGTCTTAAAGTATAAGTGAATATATTTCTGATGGCTATTTATTTTATTGCTACTACACAACCAACAAATATACCAAGTTCTGCTCAATACAGCCCTGACAAATTTTCCTTGTCTTGAGGATGGTCTTTTGATGAGTAGTGGAATAATGAACAACCAGAACTTAAATCTGTGCTCCTCAAAACAACACTTAGCCATGTTTAATCACAGCTAAAGAAAATGATATATTTTTATTTCAGCAAAATGCTAGTACTCAAGAATATTGCTGATGAGGGGCTGGCGTGTGGCTCAAGTGGTAGAGTGCATGCCTAGCTAGCAAGCATGAATTCCTGAGCTCAAAACCCAGTACTGCCAAAAAAAAAAAAAAAAAAGGAAAAATACTAATGATTTATAAGGGTTTTATTCTGTTGGACCAAAGAGAGTGGAAATTCTTTATCTAACTATAAATTTTGTATAGTTCCACACAATGCCCCTTTGGAATGCCTTAAAGAAATAAAAATGTAATTTATATAGTACATAAAACACTGCTATATCCTGTGAAATTCTTATTAGGGCACAAGTTCCAATGACTGCTTTATAAAGTCTTTACAATGCAAGGGAAATTTTTTCTTCAAAGGACAACTGTGCATTGTACACAGTATACCCTTTCCAGGTTATTGATTCTGATTTAATGGAGCTCTGCACCATCATGGTCTTTGAGCTATTTTACAACTCAGTAAGTTATAGAAGATTCATGGTAATGCAAAATAATTCTTGTCTACACACATGTAAATGAATCATGTCTGGTGGATGCTTGACTTCCTTCCTTCCCACACGGTGTTAGAAGACAGTTTCTCCCCCACTTTTTTTTTTCTTTTTTGGTGGTACTGGTTTTTGAACTCAGGGCCTCATGCTTGCTAGGCAGTTACTCTACCACTTGAGCTACTCCACCAGCCCTCAGTTTTCCTTCTATTTGTTTTGATATTCCTGATCACACATGCTTTTGTTCTTTGGACAGTACTTTGTTTTTATTAGTATATGATAGTTACACAGGGAGTTTGTGACATTTCCATATATATACATGTACTGCATGCTGGTTTGTGTCCCTCTGTTATTCTCAGTAGATAGTACTCTGAGTGGTTGTAAAATCTCCCTGATTTTGTCACTGATAATGACTTAAAATGTTAAAGATGAATTACATACAATGATTAGCACATTTATTTTCTGTCTGCATAAGAATTGCAACAATAAATTTGGAAAATTATTCTTCAATGGAAAAGCAGGATTTTGAATGGAAAGTTTTGAAATTAGGTGCATATCATCTCTGATCTCACAGATGGGACTCAGCTTTCTACTTATTTATTCATTTATTTCATTTTTGTACTGCATTTTACTCTTCTAAGTTTCAATTATTCCCTTAACTTTCTTCAGCTACCAATTCACGTTTTTTTCCCTTTTCGCTTACTCTGCTAAGATTTCATGAGAAAGCTGTCATTTCAAACACATTCTTGAACCTCTACACCTTATGAAAATCTCAACGTAAAGGTTATCTTTGTCTCCATTAACATGATTTTTGTCAGGGCAGAGGGGGTGTAAGGAGAGAAGGTGAGACTGGAACAAACAAGAGACTTCGTCCTAGAACATTACCAAGGATGAATGTGTTCTTTTGCCTCAAGTCATTCTGTTCCCTCTACCTCCTCCCTCCCTAGGCTGTGCCCTAATGGTAGGAATCTGTCCCAGCTGTGGGAAAGGTGTGCACTATTGGGTGACTTGGTCCTGCAGGTGGGAACAACGGAAGCACTTCTAGGGCCCTCACTTCAGTCCTGCACTCCTGCCTGCTTCTGCAGCTGGGGGTGGGGAGTTGAGGGAATGGGGGTGAATGGGAGGGCTAACAGCACCTGCTCAGGTAAATTTTGTTCCTCCTTGCCCTGTGATGACAGAAAGGCTCCTTCCACTGCTTCTTGCCCCAAAAGAAAACCTAGCCCTAATCCCCATCACTGCCATAACTCTTCAGACAATTACAAATAGTGTATATTTTCACGAGTCCCTTTTGGGACTTAATATTTTTGTTGCGTTCATTCATTGGAACGATTCCATTATATTCAAAGGAAGCATTTCACAATATCTAGTGAGCAAAAACAGAATTTTATACTTACTGTGCCCCACCACAGAGCATCTGCATATGTAGAAAACTCTTTATTGGCATCCTTCTCCACCAGATAGACAAGGAAAGATGAAAAAATAAGAACCAGAAATCCTATGTACCAAGCTGTGATTAATTCCTAGGTAAAAAAAGGGATGAAAGATTTTTAGAGGTGAAACATCTTTAAAGAAGCAGAAAAAGATCTATTCATGATTCCATTCACTTTACTGCTTCTAGGCTGTTTAGAATAATTTAAAAATAATCCATCCCATATCACATCCCCAAACTGGTTTAACCAAGTTCCAAAACAACCGTTTGCTTGTTAATAGGCATGTTAAATATAACACACTGAATGAAAAGAGTGAAAAGGCTTACTCTAAAACCCAGAAAGCAAACTGTACCTTGCTGTGAGCATAAACCACTGAGCCTAGTAATTTCCAGGTGCCTCCCCTCCGGTCCATGCGCACCATACGGAGGATCTGTAGGAAGCGGAGACTTCTGAGTGCGGACGTGGCAAAAATGTTACCCTGAGTTTTTGCAGAAACAACTGCTATTGAAGCGATAAGAACAATGGTATCTGAAAGAAACAGGTTGAGACAGCCATAGGTCACGTGAGGAGGAATTTTAATTTCTCAAAACGCTATTTCTGATCTCTGAGTCAAAAAACATGCAGATCTCAAATCCAGCCTCACTTAGGCTCCCTGATGGCTGAAGAATGAAAGGCAGACAGGACCGAGCCATGGCTTTAGCTCTGAACCCTTGGCCATCCTGTGCTCTATCTGTGCAATTTTGAACCACATAATATTTAACTTTCAACAAATTGGACAATGGCCTAGAGACCTGGGTGTTTCCGGAAGCTGTAAGGGTGGGTGGTGGTGGTGGGTTTATAGCGCCTCTGGTTTTGTTAGCTTTCTTGTCTGCAGCTAAAGCTCCTGCCTCAGTCCCCAGCATGATGACTCCCTGGTCAATGTGACAGAAGCATGGGAGCCCACCCACCAGTGAAAGTGCTGCTTGCTTGGTGTAATGTTTTCTCTCTGAACAAGTTCATCTCTCTCTTTTTTAAAATCCAAAGTTGAAACATTTATTCTTCATCACTTTAGAGGCTGACAAGCAATTCCACACCATGCTTTCCAAATCCAGTCTTCTTTGCTATTTTTCAGACTTCTGAGACCTAGTATTTAATCCATTCTGAATGAACAGAACTATTGTACATTTCTTAGTAAGAGTTTTCTTAAAAAGTGTCCATCAAATACAAAGATTGTTTTCTGTCCAAGGATCAGCATTGAGGGAAAAACACTAAGCACCTATCAAAAAATCACTTATTTTTAAAATAACAGAACCAGTGCTACTCTCTGTCATAAAAGAGAACATGTAAAATTATTGTTATACACTTTGGTAATATTTTATTCCCTCCCCAGTTCTCAATCTTACTTAATCTTTTATACAAAGTTACCATTGGTATTTACTGAATAAAAATCTCAGATATTATTCGAAAGAGGAACAGATTACTTTTAAGGAAAAGAGCTTCTTGGTAACTTCTCTCAAATGCTTATTTTAAATAAAAATAGCTAGCAGAAATTTTCTTTTAAATCAACTTTGGTTACTATATGGTATATTACTCATTACACAAAAACAAAGGAAATCAAAACTTTCATCTTTTTAGTAAATTGTCTACCTTTATTTTTAAGATTACAATGTATTTGCTTCTTTTTGTTTGTAACTGCCTCATTCAATATATAAATATTTAATAATTAAAACTTTAAAAATTTTTTATTTCAATACACTGAGTAAGAGTTCTCTTTCAAATGATCTTACAACTTGGAGCACAGACACCAGAGCAACACTCTCAAGTCACATTTTTTTGACTATAATGAAGAAATGAAAATGGATGGATATCTGAAAACAGGTATGCTCTCTCCTCTCAAGGTGAGGAAGCTTTTAACATATGAGTGACGCAGGACTCTAGTCTTCTGAAGATACCCTAAAATCAGAATACTTCCATTTAATAAGTCAATATATTATTCTTAAAAATCAGTTTGGTCACTAGGAAAAAGTGGACAAAAAGTATTCCCCTCCCCAAACAATAACCTGAACAGCTCTAATCACTCCCTCTACTCCCCACAAAAACAACAAAATAGTAGAGGTTGAAGCCTTTAACTCTGAAATCTCAGCTTCTAAAACATTGCTGCTAATTGCTCAGAATTGTAGGTTTATGTTCTGCATTCTCCAATACTCTCCCATTTATAAGTTTATTTCCAACTGATGTTTTAGGTGGGAAGACAAAAAGATAATTTCAGTCAATCTGATTTGCCAAGGAAGAAAGCCTAATGTACTGTCCATATGACCAAACTTTAATACTAAATCAGGATCAGGAAAACCATTTGAATGAACTAAACTGTCTAACCTGCAAATCTGCCCATTTCTTTTGCTTCTGGGCTACTAACTGGCAGAAGTCCTCAGTGGCTCTCACAATATCTGCATTTCCATCTTCTGCTGGAGCAAAGTAGTCCCCTGGACAAAAAGTATTCCCCTCACAAAACAATAACCTTCTGCAAACAGTGCCTTCACTGCTGCATGGCTATTTAAAACTTGATCATCTTTGTCGCTACTATTTGAAAACTCTGTTGAGTATTTGAAACAATCCAGGCCCAAAAGTTCCTGCTGTTGTTTCAAAATTTCATCCATCCATTTGGAGTTTTTTTTTCTTTTTTAAATACCTGGCCCCTGCTGCCATCTTCCTCCTCCCTTGGCAGCCCTGCCCCAAGTTCCTATCTCTTTTGTGCCCCAAATTCCCTACTGTTGTGAAGCCTGGAACACTGCATATTGTTTAGGTCAGTCCACAATAAATCTGGATAGTCTAGGTTCTCCATATAGACTCTCTCTATACCTAGTCTGTCAGTTACGTGAAAGTTTGGTGCACAAATTAAATAATGTTGCATTTGTTACAATAGCATATGTAATTATATATGCTGTACATTATAGGGAATTGCATATTTAAATATTTGACATGTTGATTTGGTTTTAAAAAATCTGCCATTTTGTAAGCAAATAAGAGACAAAGGACAGCTAATAAAAGCATAGACAAAAGAACTTAATCACCCCAAGATTAAATGTCTGAGAGGTGGGAAGTAGATTTTGCAATGGTTAACGTGAAGTGGGGATGAATGGCTTCCTGGAGCAATTTCAATGTGTTAGCTTGACCTTAACATCCCCAAGGAGAACTTCCTGCTTCAAGTGGGTTGTGCATGACTGGACTTCCACACTCCAAACAGGAGTTCTACTTCAAGGGTATTGTATTTGTAATGTTCCCATGGTCTTCCAGATTAACTGCTGTATGAGTGTGCATTCTCCATTCGAATCATCCTTTTCCCTGCACAAGAAAGCTCTGGGCTCCTAGTATGACCTGACAGGATCTGTGGAGTCACACTTCTTTTAGGGTTGGTTGTTGGAGAGAGAGTGTCAATGGTTGGCAGTTCAAAGGTCAGCCAAAGGCCTTTTTCCAGTCAGATCTAAACTCTGTGTGCCTCTATGGGTAGGTGCCCAGAGAGCCCCAAAAGCGTCTTTGAGCTTCTGCTGTTGAGAAGGAACTAAGTGTATTGATGCAGACACTGAGTATGTGTGTGTATGCACGCGTGTACGTGTATGCACGTGTGTGTGTGTGGTACTGAGGATTTGAATTCAGGGCCTCATGCTTGCTAGGCAGGTACTCTACTACTTGAGCCACATCCTCAGTTGGAAGACATATTTGAAAACATTTGAAGTTACAAAATACTATGTATGATGTAGTCTTATTTTAGTAAAAGTATGTATTAATATATGGTTAGAAGGTGTTGGCGAGGATGCGGGGAAAAAGGAACCCTCTTACACTGCTGGTGGGAATGTAAACTAGTACAACCACTCTGGAAAAAAATTTGGAGGCTACTTAAAAAGCTAAACATTGATATACCATTTGATCCAGCAATACCACTCTTGGGGATATACCCAAAAGACTGTGACACAGGTTACTCCAGAGGCACCTGCACACCCATGTTTATTGCGGCACTATTCACAATAGCCAAGTTATGGAAACAGCCAAGATCCCTCACTGCTGATGAATGGATCAAGTAATGTGGTATCTACACATAATGGAATTTTATGCAGCCATGAAGAAGAACGAAATGTTATCATTCTCTGGTAAATGGATGGAATTGGAGAACATCATTCTGAGTGAGGTTAGCCTGGCCCAAAAGACCAAAAATCGTATGTTCTCCCTCATATGGGGACATTAGATCAAGGGCAAACACAACAAGGGAATTGGACTTTGATCACATGATAAAGCGAGAGCACACAAGGGAGGTATGAGGATAGGTAAGACACCTAAAAAACTAGATATCTCGAGAAAAGGTTAGTTCAAGAAGAATTAACATAGAAGGTAACACACATGCACAGGAAATCAATGTGAGTTAACTCCCTGTATAGCTATCCTTATCTCAATTAGCAAAAACCCTTGGTCCTTCCTATTATTGCTTATACTCTCTCTTCAACAAAATTAGAGATAAGGGCAAAATAGTTTCTGCCGGGTAGTGAGGGGGCAGGGGGAGTAAGGGATGGGGTGGGGGGAAGGGAGAGGCAGGGGGAAGGGGGGAGTAATGACCCAAACATTGTATGCACATATGAATAAAATAAAAATTAAAAAAAATTATATACGGTTAGAAAAACGTGAGACTATACACAATTAATACCATTAGTTATCTATAGAGTCAGGTTAAATTAATAATTAAATTAATAATTTTCCAAATTATTAATTTCTGTAATGTTGGAATTTCATAATAAGGAGTATGTCACTTGAAATGAGAGAAAATATTTTAAAGAACAAGTGTGTGTAAACAGAGATCGTGTTTTACATCATTTGGAGGGATTTACTCTGAGAATAGTGACTTACAAAGAAACATTAGTTATACGGCCCTGCTGGATTTTTTTTTTTGTTTATTCATATGTGCATATAATGTTTGGGCCATTTCTTCCCCTTACCTCCCACCCACTCCCTGGATATTTATTTTTGCTTTTATTTCATTGTAATCTCACATCCTCCTAAATATAACATCTCACATCCTATAAATATAAAGAAAGAGATATAACACTTCATTTGCTATGTGAAATATTTGAAACAGTGGAAATAAGTAAATGGCTAGCAGGGGTGCAGAAAAGATAGTACATAGAAATTACAATCTTGCCTGGTGTTCTAAGACATTATCTCACTTAATCCCTATAAAAAAGCTTATGGATTAGGCACCACACAGGTCCCATTTTACAGAGGAAGCAGTGACGAGTGCAAAGCTTATACTCTTTTTTTTTTTTAAACAGCTATCAATCTGTAAAAGTATAGCACAAAGAGTATGCTATAAAGTTAATTCGTTAGAGAATAACTATAGAAAAAAAGGAACATTGTAAGTTTGAGATAATTTAAAAATTATGCACAGAGTGAATCATAATCTAAATGTCTGAAGGCACAAAATATGCAAAGGTAACTGCAGATTTGATTCAATACTTCCATTGTAATTCAGATCAGTTGGGAAAGTCAGACTTCACCAAAATGAA